TTATTTTATTAATTTTAATGAACATTTACAGATATTTTGGATTTCTATTCATGCATTGTTGCATTTTTCTCCCTGCCCACCCCTCTGCCCCCAATTTACTCTTCTCTTTGAAAAGTAAAAGAAAAATTCCTTAATTAGTATACAATCCCCCCTCCACCCACTCTGAGTACACTCCACTATACAACCTTCATTCTGGACTCTTGTCATAACCATAATACTCAATCATATGTCACTTTTAAACTGTTCTCCCCTCATCTGTTTCAATGCAGTATACATAATTTATCCAATTTTTCTCAATCTCACCCCAACCCTGATGTCAGTCCCGTTCTACAACAGTGGCAATGTGCAGTATTTGTCCTTTTGTGACTGAGATACTTCACTCAGCATAATGTCCTCCAGGGTCACCCATTTTGAATAATATTTCATTAGTTTCTTGTTTTTCAATGCATCATAGTATTCCATTGCGCTAATATACCACAGCTTCTCTATCCATTCGTTTGCTGATGGGCATTTAGTTTGTGTCCAACTCTTTGCTATTGTGAATAAAGCCACAATAAATATGAATGTGCATATATCTGCCTGGGTGGCAGTTTCAGTTTCTCTGCAACCTTGCCAGCATTAGTTGTTTGCTGCTCTATTAAATTTTGCTAATCTTACTGGGGTAAGATGGTATCTCATAGTTGTTTTGATTTGCATCTCTCTAAGAGCTAGGGATTTTGAGCATTTCTTCATGTATTTGTTGGCCGTCTGAATGTCTTCTTTGGTGAAGTGTCTGTTCATATCCTGTGCCCATTTTTCAACTGGGTTATTTACCTTTATCTTGTGGGGTGTTCAAGTATTTTATAAATTCTAGATAGAAGTCCCTTATCTGACATGTCATTATCAAGTATTTTTCCCCAATTTGTGGCTTTCCTTTTTACTCTGTTTGAGAAGTTTTTAGATGTGCATAGGGATTTGATTCTTAGAAGGTTCCATTCATTTTAACCTCTCCTGGTTGGAGATTTTTCAGGATCCTTGGAAGACTGTTTATGTTGTGGATTAAGACTTCTAGAGTTCTTCCAAATTTTTCTTTAATGGAATGTATAGTCCTTGGTTTTAGTCCTTAGTCCATGATCCATTTTGAGTTATTTTTTGTGTATGGAGTGAGGTGTGGGTCTTGCTTGAGTTTTCTACAGGTAGTTTTGCAATTTTATTAGGACCATTTGTTAAAAATGTTGTCATTTCCCCACTTAACTGATCTAATTTCTTTGTCAAAAATTAAGTGACGATAGGTAGATGGGCATATTTCTGGATTTTCTATTCTATTCCATAGATCTGTATATCTGTCATTATACCAGTA